TTCCACGAAGGTCCAGGTCTGAGCCCGAACAACATAGGGGTCCTGGTCCGTCTCGGTCTGAGGATCAGAGACGGGCACAGAAGGCTAGTGTCGCGACTCGCGCTCCTCCTCCGCCTAGGGGAAGGGGGAGTCGGGGGTGAAAGGGTAAAGACAGCCAACAATAATACAACATTCATTCACTATAAATGAAAAGATACACATAATGGTGACATATACATTGACAACAAACAACAAAACAAACAAAAATACATGATGGAGAAGACATTGTTCATCCATCAAGAATTCATACAATTCTTCCTCTTCTATAGCACAGAATAAGTGGAATTTTTCCAAAGGGGATCTATATCTGATGCGATACTGTAGCTGACGGCTGCATGGTTACAATTTTATCTCTAATAGTATCGATCTCGGAAGTAAAGTAGTCCATAAAGTCATTACTGCTGTGCTGTTGGGAAATGTCAACGCCTATTGATGCTTTATTTTTCGTTAATTTAGTCACTGTATTGAATAAATACCTGTAGTTGTGTTTGTTTTCTTCTAAACTAAACGAAAAGTAATCAGATCTAGAAGTTATTAAGGTTTTCTGTTGGAGAAAGTACTTTCCCTCCATGCAATACGAAATACCTCTAGTTTTGTTTTCTTCCGGCTGCGCTCCATTTTCCATGCTGCTCTCTTTAGGGTGTGAGTGTGGTCGTTATAACACGGTGTTGGACTGTTTTCTTTCCTTAAGCGTTATGGAGCAACCGTATCTGAAGTGCTAGAAAAGAGAGAGTCCATAGTTTACATCAAGTTTTTCTGAGCTATGCTGAGGGATTGAGACAAGTCAGGAAGATTTTTTACAAAGCAGTATTTTGTGGTAGAAGTGATGGTTTTTCCATATTTGTAACAAGCAATTTAATTTACAAAATTAATTTTAAAAAAAACAACAAACTAGAGTAACAGGGTTGGAAAAGTCATCAGTCCCTTGATGTAATACTTCGTAGAGCCACCTTTTGCTTTAATTACAGCCATCAGTCTTTTTGGATATGTCTGTACTAGCTTTGCACACCTTGATTGGGGAATATTTGCCCATTCTTCCTTGCAGAATTGCTCAAGTTCAGTCAAATTCTGTGGTGAGCGGCAATGGACTGCTCTTCAAATCCATCCACAGATTTTCAATTGGATTTACGTCAGGTCTCTGACTCGGCCACTCAAGGACATTCACCTTCTTATCCTTAAGCCACTTCATTGTTGTTTTGGCAGTATGTTTAGGGTCATTGTCGTGTTGGAAGGTGAATGACCTGCCCATCTTCAGATGTCTAGTAGAGGGACACAGGTTTTCCTCAAGAATTTGGATGTACTTGGCAGCATCCATTTTCCCTTCAATCCTGACCAATCGCCCAGTTCCAGCTGAAGAGAAACACCCCCGCAACATAAAGCTGCCACCACCATGCTTCATATGCGTTTTGGGTGGTGTGCGGTGTTTGCTTTTCACCAAACGTAGCACTTGGAGTTCAGTCCAAAAAGGTAAATTTTGGTCTCAGACCATAGCACCTTTTGCCAGAAGGTATAACACTCTTCCAAATGCGTTTTTTTGCATAGTGCAAATGAGACTTTCGTGCTACCCTGCCATACAGGCCAGCTTTGTGTAAAGCTTGGGAGATAGTTGTCACATGCACAGACTAACCAGACCCAGCCATAAAGCCTTGTAAGTCCTTCAAAGTTGTCTTTGGCCTCCTGGTAGCTTCTCTTATCAATGTCATCCACTTTGGACGGACGGCCTGATCTAGGCAATGTGCTGGTGGTGCCATACACTTTCCACTTTTTAATGATGCTCTAAACAGTACTCCGAGGGATAGCTAAAGCCTTTTTAAATGTTTTTGTAGCCTTCTACTAACTTGTGCGTTTCTAAAACTTTATCCCAGAGATCTTTTGAAAGCACTTTCCCAACCATAATGATTTTTTTGCCGTACCATGCACTACTAAGTGTAACCTTCAAGAAACAGCTTGTTTTATTTTGAAGTAATCAACACCACTACTACTGATGTCAGGTGGGGCAATTAGCCTGGTGTTTAACCTGGAAGTTGATTGCTTGCACCTGAGCAAGTTTTTTAATGGTATACTCTAGGGCTGATCGCTTTACCAAACCAGGCATTTCACTGATTAATTTTTAACAACCCTCCAGAATGTTTTAATGATATTTTTACTTTAATGATGAGGGTTATAATGTGTACATGCAGCTCAAAAAAGTTAGACTAAACTAATTACTAATTATCATCCCGTCCAAATGTGCCATCTCAATGTCAGTAAAGATTACAGTGACTTTTACCTTCTGTAAAAAAAGTCTGGAAAACTTGTCTCAGGTAACGCTAATCCCATGTGAACAGACCAGCTGTAAATATGTGCGTAAATATTCCATCATTTCCTGGCATGAAACTTCTGTTAGCTTTAGATAAATGCATATTACCAAAATAATCCAATCAGAATAGACTTAATTTAATTAACAAATCGTTCAACCAGACCTAACTAATATTACAAGCAACATAGTGTGCACAGGAAGCAATGTGGCACACACAAGATGACAGAGAGGTGATGGCAGTGCATAAATCGAGTTACCCCTCCCACTTCTGGTAGTTTTATTGAGATTTCTTTTCCTGTGCAATTTGGCCATTAATATTACAGATATCCTGTGGTAAAATTCCTGGTAAAGTGGTCCTAATCTCATCCAAATAGGGTTGTAGCTGACTTTCATCAAATCTAGTTCTTTGATGTCAGCTTTATTAGTTTGTCTTGTGTGGGTTGATAGAAACACATTCTGAGAATGAACTAATAACTGGATTTGTCGAAGTTTGTCACAAATGGCATAAAATATATGATTATTCAGAGTTTTGCTTTAAGGCACTGAGTGGTAAATACACAAGATATTCATGAACAAATTGTACTTTCATCTGTATTTTCTTAGTTTCATCTGTGACGTAGACTTAGCTTGGTGTCTCTACTGTATAGTATATAGAGTTTCTGGGTGGTATCTCATTACTTACCCTACGCTCATGATAACATTTTCAGAACTCACCCACACAAGCTGATAAGTAGATGCAATAAGAATTAAAACAAAACAAATGGACACTGGATCATCTTTGACTCACAATAAAACAATAAAGGGATAAGAAGTTATAAATTAATGAAAAGTTTAGTGGTCTTAAAGTAAACATCAGGTTTTAAATGGCACAATGTTTTTCAAAGATACAAAATCAGAGCCAATGTTCTTATGTCATCTTAAATATTATTAAAGACAATATCTTACATCGGAGTAGAGAAATATTTTAAGCCTAATCTTAATGAAATTTACAAAATGCAACAGTATAACCAGACACAAATGAAAAAACGAGAAAAAAACTAATTGTGTTTACAAATATTTAAAAACCTATACAAATGCATTTTACATAGTTCCACATAATGTGCAAAATTACTGCCAAGAGTGTGCATTTTTCATTGGCCTGCTTACCACCGCATTACCATTTTCAGAAATACATACTGAACAATTATACAAACACAGACTTTTATGAAAGCCCTGACTCCTCCCACTGGTACATCATGCACAAACAACTACAATAACATAATCAACAGTTAGAGATAGATTTTAACCTCTGCACTGTGATGCCATTTTATTGTGGTCTTATGGTGCGTTCAAGTCTCTTTAAGCCCCGAGTTTCCGAGTTGGGGGCGTGTCAATGAGAAACATGGCGGAATCGATGGATGCAACGTCTGTAGTTGACGGTAAATTTTTGTTTAAATTGATAGTTTAGTTGTCCTATAAACTTAAATTGGTCATGTTCTTGTTACGCAGCTGAAATCCAAGTAAAAAAATGCAGACCCTGTTGTATTTTCTTGTAATTTATTAAAAGAAGGTACACTGCCATCTTGTGCCGACTAAACTGACTTGAACGCACCTGACGTCGTAATTACGACTTGTCAACTCGTAAGTACGAATGTCCCAGGAGGACTTGAACGCAGCATTATACCTGATGCATTTTCTTTGTTCTTAAAGACCACATGAAATCGACTGACAAGTTCAATACTCTTTCCTGTGCTGATGTATTTCCTGTTAAAACAGGAAGTTGGGGCAGGACATACTGATTTCACAGGGTCTTTAGAGCTGCATTTACACTGCAAGTCTTAATGCACAGATCCGATCTTTTGACCATATCTGATTTTTTTGGCCCGCCTGTTTACATTCACTTTGACACAACTGGTATCCGATATCTGTGTTTACATTAATTCCCACCCATCAGTGATCTCTTTACTATGCACATAGTAGTAGGCCCATAGGTGTTGAACGGCCGTGTTTTAAAAAAAAATATATATTTATATAATTCACGTCGAGTAGACATTATTTGCCAGCATGGACAACAGCTGTCACAGATGTTTTGCAGCACAAAATCTGACTGAACGTAGGAAAATAACGGTAATTTTAATTTATTTTATCTACAGCTCATTAGATGTAGAATTCTAAAGTGAAATAAAGTAGCACTGTAAGATAATATTTATTTGAATGAATTAACGACAGAGAGAGAGAACATGCGAGTGAGTATCCTAGTAAAGCTTGTTGGTTTAATTACAAAAACAGCTAATTTATCTCTTCATTGCTGAGAAATATAATAGGTTTTAGTAGCAAAGCTATTGTATAAAAAAAATTCACGGGACAGGGGTTGAAAACCAGTTCCTCAGTATTGCGCAGTTTCCACCTCAATAAAATGCAAGCACATATACAGCACTCCGGCATTAAAACGCTATCTTTATTAGCAAAAGTGTCGCCATCGCATTGTGGTGGCTCCGAGTTCTGCGGGGAATCGGATGCGTGTGTTTAGATGCAGGTCGGATGTCCAGATATCAGATATGTACCTGATTAAAGTCCACATTTGGAAGTGGCCCAAATCAAATGCAAAAAAAGAAAAAGCAAAAAGCAAATAAAAAAAATTCGGATCTCGTGCGGATTTTTGTGTTTACATATGTGCAACAAATTCAGATGTGAGCAAAAAAATCTGATTTTTTTGTCCCAGTGTAAATGCAGCCTAATTGAACTATTCTTTTGGAAAGATTTAAATGTAGTGATTAAGTATGTTGCAATAATCAACAACAAAGTTGCACATGGACCCAATGTGCTGTTTTTGAGCATTACCAGAAAAACACATTGTGTTATAAATTATAATGCATTATAAATGTGTCGCTGTTACTTTGGCCTCATCCTCTATTGTGAGCGCAGGGTTGTCATACATCTCTAAACTCTTATCCTTGGTTTTCATATCATCCTTCTCTTCATCCTTTTCTTTTTCTTTGCAGCACTTGCAGCAGCAGCAGCAGCAGCGAGTCCTGCAGAAGGTCATGCTGGCAGTCACCACTCTGTCCCAGGGTTTGAGGGAGTGTAGCGGTGTGGGCAGGAAATCCCAGCTGCGGAGGAATGATGGCAGGAAACGTGGGCAGTGTTTCTGCATAATGTTTACCACGATCACAAAGATCGCCAAGACCAACACGGGCACTCCGACCCCCACCAAGACCTGCCACCCCGCGATGGAGAGGCCCAGGACTGCCAGTGGGAAGAGGAGGAAGATCAGGATGAGATACAGTGCCGCAAACCAGCGGTACTTGGCCGTGCAGTTGCCCAAAGCTTTGGCTAATCGGATGGGGATGCGTGTGAAAGGGATGGGATACCAGAGCAGGATACCACTGATGTTGAAGAAGAAGTGACAGAGAGAAACCTGGAAGAAAACACAAATGATGGTCTTTAATCTATAACCAGAGTAATAAAATCAAATCAAATGAAAAGTGCAGAAACAAACCTGTAGAGAGTTTGCCAGTGTCTCTCCAGGACTGGCGAGGGCAGCTAGAATAGCTGTGGTTGTTGTGCCAATGTTGGAGCCCAGTGTGAGTGGATACGCCCTCTCAAGGCTAATGACACCAATACCTGAATAGAGAGAAAAACAGTAATAATAATAATAAAAAAAACAGTACCAATTTAAATGCCTGACTCAACTTTTTTTCTTTCCTACATATTCCACTGTCTGTCCTGGGATTCTGTAGGACATTCTGGGATTGCCCTTTCCAAGAGTGATACATGCAATGCCGTAAAATTACACAAAATGTCTAGGTCAACCGTAATCGTGACTCAGTTTTCAACAGTTTGGTAACCAGTCCAATCTAGTGGCCTTGGCGATATATCGGCCGATATCTGCCATTTTTCAAATAATCGGCCGATAAGTTTTTCTGTTTGGCCGATGTGTAGTTTGACGGCGCGTCAGACTTTTATTTTGACGGCGCCGAGAACGGCTGCGGCAGCGCCTGAGCACCCAGTGCTCACATTCTCCCTCGTTCGCTGTTGTCATTCAGTTCTGTCTAATACAGATAGAAGTCTATCTAATAATCAGATAGAACTGTTAAACAAAAGGAATTAAAATGTATACAAAAAAAAGTATTATAACGATTGCTTTAATATTATTAAAGGCAAACATTATAATACTTTCTCGTTTGCCGTCAGCATTCCGCAAATACGTATTTATATAATTTAAACAAATCTTTGAATGACTAATGAACATTTAATTTCACAAATCTTGCAGACTTAGTCTAATCTAGTTGAGATCTTGTGAAGTGTGCATGTGACCTGCATGATCGCGTGTTCTGTGACGGTCGGTCCTATGGTCCGTGCGAATTGAATACGGACAGGAGGAGAGTTCAGCTTCACTGGAGACGCGCGATCGACAAACTTTAAACTCGTGATTTCAAATTATGCTGCGCTTTATGCATTTGCCCACTGTCATATTCATGTCATTTTCACTGTGTGCTGTATGTAAAATGAGTGTTACCTTGGCTTTATTTGAAAAAATATGATTCCCAATGCACACAAACTTCCCAGAATACTGAGTGCCCTGTTGGTTACAGTGCTTACTTCCTTTTTAATTATATTTTTATTAAATATTTATTTATTTGTCAAAAATACTTTGTCATCTAAAGTATAAGTATGTTTATTTAACACATTTA